GCAGCAATGGGCACGGAGCAGAGCCCAGAGCAGGGATCCCTCTCAGGCAAGGAGCTAAACATGAGCCTCCCTTCTTGGGTGATGACTGTGAGATATCCACTGGGGCCACAGCCTACCTCTGAGCTTTTCCTAGGATTGGAGGTGTCAAGTACCCCAATGCCCAGGTTAGGAGAGCCTCTTGCAGACTCACAGCTCCTGTGGGCCAAGCCTGCAGACTTGGTCTCCAGCGTCAGGAGAGTTCATCTCTGATTCCGGCTCCAGGCAGATGCTTAGTTTTCAATAAGAAGTTTGATAGAGGTGGAGAAAGGACTAGGTTTTCCCACTGGCTGCTGCCCTGAGGGGAGAAAACTGGGAACCCGCCCTGGGTGGGGCAGAGATTGCCTAAGCTCACCTATTACCCCATCCATACACATGGCTAATAAGGTCTTAGAATGGTTCTGGTCTGTCTGGGGCTTACAAATCAAGGCAGAGCCTTAAAAGGCATGTCACAGAGTTTTATCCCACCTTCCCAAACACCTTGCAGGCTGGGCCGCCCCCAGCCCTCACTCACCTTCATGGTGCAAACCATTTTGTTGTCTTCCAGAAAAACATTGTGCACAGAGACCTGAAGCTCGGGAACATGGTGCTCAATAAAAGGTGAGACCTGCTTTTCTTCATGAGGTAACTGTGGGGTTGGAGTAGGCTACATGCTGCATCTACCAGCTATCGCATGCCCGCAGGATTCCCAGGGGGATTCTGGCTTAAAACAGCCCACTTCTCCCAGGAATCCCAGTGGTGGGGGTGGGATGCCTGCTTCTGTTTTCTTGCTGCATAGAATATGAGGAAGGAGTCTTCAAGGCCACAGACAGAGCTCTGGGAAGGAGTGCAGAAATCCTCCCTGGTCCATTCATTGGCCATGCCTGGTGGGTGCTCAGTAAGTGACTGTTAAAAAGGACAAATGGGTGAAAGAATGACAGATGAGCAAAATAGGTCAAGGTCCCAGGAAGCAGACTCAGATGTGTGTGCAGGAGTTTTACTGGGGAGAGCTCTCAGGGAGGAGAGGGCGGGATCGGGCAGAGGCAGACGCTGAACTCTGGTGCAGTCCTGACATGGTCTCAGCCTGGAAAGCTTGAGAGCCAGGTGGCCCTTCAGATGTCCCAGATCAAGGCAAGGGGGCACAGGGCCCTGCACCCCTACTGGGGCAGCCACTGAATGTGGCCCATGCCCGAGGTGGGGCATAAGCTTAGGCAGTCTCCTTTGGATAAGGGCACTTCCCGAGAAGGACACAGCTACGAGTAGTCAGAAACCAACACTCCCAGCAGCCCGAGAGAGGGCCTTGATCTTGGAAGGGATCTGGTGGCTCACCCCGAGGGTTGCAGGAATACAGTCAGGGCTCCTGCGCTGTGACCACCCCAATGCCTCAAGCCTCTTAGTCTCTGTGATGGATTTGCTTCCAACTCTCAGTTCTCTAGGCCCCTTCATTCGGGGAAGGTAGTCCAGAGGTCACACCTCTCTTGAGTAATGCCAGTGTGTGTGTGTGTGTTTCCTTTGATTGCAGAACACCAGTACCTCATTCAGACCCCTCGTCTTGGCAGCAGTCCTTTAATCTGACAGTCCCTTCTGTGCTGGTCAGATGGAGGTTCTGGCCCCCTCCCTTGACTCCCAGCTCTTCTGGAAGAGGGCAGAGTGGCATGGTGCAGAGAGACCCACTCTGAGAGTCCAGGGCCCACCCCTGTCCTCTCCAGACCTTGCTTTCATCCTTTCAAAGTCAACCTGGAGGCGCTTCCACCCCTTCATGCCCATCAGGCCAGGCCCTAACTCCAGCTGGAGAGGCAGGCAGACAAGCTGGAGGACTTGCCCGGTCTTCACAGCAGAGGGTGCTCCCGGGGAGGAAACGGGAGAAGTGTTTGCCAAGCAGCACAGTGGCAAGTCCGCCCTGCTGTGGATGAAAGGCACGGGTTGAAATCTGAAATCCCCTTTTGGGGTTATGTGAGGTTTGCTGTGGGTTCCTCTTCCTCCTTTCTTTTTGGGTAGTCAAATTGCACACCAAGTTCCTAGAAAAGGAGAATAACACTGTGGTAGCCCAAAGGGCCATAGCTAAAGAGTGACTCACTCAGAGCGGATCCTGCTGACACAGAGCTCCCTTCATCCCTCACTTCCCTCGCCCCTTCTGCCAGGACTGACGAGCCTGGGGGGTCTGGACTCCCAGGGATCTGTGCACCACCCAGCCAACTTGGGCGGTGGTGGCCCGGCAGGGAGCGTCGCCAACCTTCAGGAGGTCTTGGAGCTGACCATGTGGTTTCCTGTGGGAGAGGCTCCAGGGTCCTCAGTGGGCAGAGCAGTGAAAGCCAAGTGGACCCTGCTGCCCACCCTGCAGAGTCTCTGGCACGTTTTCCTCCAACCCCCCCCCCACACCCCCCCCGCGCGCCTCACACTTGCTAGTAGAGGGCTGGCAGAGGCACGTGGCTCCAGGGCCTGTGGACACAAAGTGGCACCTCTCTCCTGCCCCTCAGACATGGTGCCTTTCCCAGGGTTCTCCTTTGGCAGCTTCTGCCCACTGTCGGGGGATGACATGCTAATCTGAGCTAGCAGTTAGTAATCAGTGACTGTTCGCCAGGCCCTGGGCCCAGTGCTTGCCCTGAGATTAAGTTCTTATCTTGTTAAACCCTAACACAGTCCTGGGAGTTAGGTGCTAATATTTTCCCTGTTTCACAGACGAGGAAATTGAGGTTTAGCAAGATACTAAATAGCATGCCCAGGACCACACAACCAGGGAGTGGCAAAGCCAGGAACAGAACCCAGGATCTGACTCCCAAGCCCACCAAACTGCCCGCTGCGCTGTCCTCCCCCAGTGTCCCCAGCCTCAGAGAACGCCTGCAGGAGGCGCTGCAGCTGCCAAGCCGTCTCTGAGCAGGGAGGAAACCCAGTCTCTGCTCTGGGGACCATGCGCTTGAGAGGCTGAGCAGTCTCACATTCAGGACAGTGACATGGCGGTTCAGGGCGGGAGCCATCCACGGCTTGACGTGCAGTGATCCCTGCCTGGACCCTTTGCCTGCTCTCTCAGGCTCCAGCTGCCCTAGGGCCACCAGTCTGACTTCTGTGGCATCTGACGGGCGGGCCTGTGTGGAGAGGAGAGTCGACATTTCCATTCGGAATGCAGAGCACAGACTGGCCTTTGTTTTGCACCAAGCCCTGTGCCAGCAGAATTCCCCGGAGAGCTGAAAGGCTCGGGAGCATTTTGGACGCAGCTTCTGGGGAATTCCGCCCTCAGCCCCACACGACCTGCACTCTGAGCCGACTCTCCATCCTCAAGAGGCGGCCCGCGGCCCCTGTGCTGCTTCCCTGCCAGCGGCTGCCAGCAGAGCCGGGCAGTAGCCCCTGCTCGTCTGTGGGCAGAGAAGCACCCTTCCTCACTGGCTGTCCCCAGTGGGGCAAAGAAGCCTTCCCTGGCCTCTTGGAAGGGGACTGCCCCCCTAACCCCCGCCCCCGCGGGATGTGAGGTGTCCTCTCTGGGCCATTTTGCTCACATGGTGAAACTCCCAGAAAGGATCAGAGCCCAGAGCTGCTCTCAGCCACGACTCCAATGGGGGATCCATGGCTTTCTAGATCAGGGGAGAATTTGAAGGGCAAGGCGGGGAATGAGAGGGTTGGGGACTATCCAGGACACAGTGGGCACGTGGGTTAGTCTACAGGGCAGGCCCTAGGGTCAGACAGACCCAGTGTGGATCCTGTTCACTGCACACTAGCTGTGTGACCCTGGACAAGTCCCTGCACTTCTCTGTGCCTTAGTTGCATTGTCTTTGAAATCCCTCTTGGCGTGTGAGGGTTGAATGGAAACAGTCATCACCAGGCACTGAGGCCAGTAAGTGCTCAGTACGCATTCCCTTTTCAGACTGTCAGTGATGCGGATTGATAATGACATGGGGGTGACCAGAGGGCTCAGCAGACGGAGACAAAAGTGGCACCTAAGGGTGGGCTCCACAGCTCTGTGGGCTTTTCCTCATGTGGAAATGCGGGAATTGAACTATCCCTGATCACTCCCAATCTAGACGTGATGTGAGGTTGTTTGGGGACTCCCTGCAAATTGTTCTGAGCTTGAACTGTTGTCCGCCCCCCCCCGCCCCCGCCCCAAGACTCAGCTAGGGAAGCAGGTTCAGGGGAGCTCCCCTTAAACACTCACCGGGTCAGAATGACTCAGATCCCTGCCTGGACGGCTCAGCAGGTGGCAACCAAGAGTGAGTGGCCAGAGTCAGCACCACGGGCACCCTCCACACAGCCCCGGGAAGGCAGCGAGGGCCTGGGGAGCAGAGAGGATGTGGGCATGAGTCCTCTGCTCACTGGACAGGAGGTGAGGGCAGCAGGGGTGTCATGGGAACCAAGGTGTGTTCACTCTCTGCCTCCCACTCCCAGGACGCATCGGATAACCATCACCAACTTCTGCCTCGGAAAGCACCTCGTGAGCGAGGGGGACCTGCTGAAGGACCAGAGGGGCAGCCCCGCCTACATCAGTCCCGACGTGCTCAGCGGTAGGTGCGGTGCACAGGCAGTGGGCCCAGGCCAACACACAGCCGGCGCCGGAGCAATTCACTCCTTCCGCAAACCCTATCTGTGGGCTTCGTGGTGGCTTCAGCCAGTGCTGTCCTTGGGGCCTCATGGAGGAGGAAGACAGCAGTGGCCACACCAGTGCACATTTAGTTACTCTCTGAGATTAGTGCTTGGCAGGGAAGATTTCTATGCGTGTAAATAAGGCACTTGAAGGACTTCCCCAAGGAAGTGACATTTGAACTGAGATGGGAAGGATAAGTGGGAATCATGGGGAGTGTGACCAGCTGGAGGCAGCACAGCACATTGGAGGAGAACCGACTGAAGGCCCTGTGGTTGCTGCTCAGAAAATGAGCCTGGCTCAAGGCCAGAGAGGTGGGCAGGGGCCAGACCATGAAAGGGCTGATGGAGGCCTTATTGAGAAACAAACGTCATCCTTTATTTCAAGTGAAAAGGAAGCCATTGAACAGGTCTTCACTGAGGGTGCCAGGATGAGATTTGCATTTCAAAGACATCACTCCCTTCGTTCTCATTCACTCACTCATTCTGCTGGTATTCCTTTTTTACCGATGAGAAAACCGAGGCTCCGAGAGATTAAATCTCTTGTCCAAAGTCATAGCTAATAGTAAACCCGGAGGCTGCTCAAGCCCAGGCTCCTGTTTCACCAGAGGTTTTCTTTCCTTTTCCCGCTCATTCTTTACCAAATTGGGTCTCTCATCCTGACCCCGTAGGGGACCAAGGATTTATATCAGCTGCTGTCTATTCCATGTGAAGAAGGTCCAGGGTTGTCCCCGGGGTGTGTAACCACCAGCACACACAGGCGTCCCCTTCTCACAGTCGCAGAGTCGTCCTTGCCTTCCTGGGAAGCCGGCTGCTGTAATTTACCATAAGCATCTGTAGTCCCCTTGGAGGCCTCCCCAGCCCAGGCTTCTCCTGGAATGCCAGGGCTACCCGCCTGTAGAGGGTAGTGGTGCCACTCTCCAGACCTGGGGGGTTTGGAATCCCTTCGGCCTCTGCTGGAGGACTCTGGGCAACCCCTGTCCAGCTGGACACCCTCCATGAGAATCCCCAAAGCATCTCTGAGGGTGAAAGGAGCCAGGAGGAACAACCAGGTCTGTGGGGTGTGCAGGCCTGGGGGTGGCAGGGCTCTCTGGTCAGGACTGTCCTTAGCAATGCCAGGCTACGGTGGCCTCCATGTGCCCACATGCCCATCCAGGGCAGCTGGGGTAATAAGGGCCAGGCCAGACCCTTTCCTGAACACCCCCCCACCCCCCACCCCCTCAAAAGTCCAATTGTAGCAGTCACTGGCTGCTGCCCGTGGCTTCTCTCTCTGGTCCTTCCAGACTCATCCCCATCTTGCAGGATGAAACAGACACCCACTGCACCAGAAAGAGACCCAGATTGGGAGACCAGGGCCCGGGCTCTGACACTGGCATTGCCAATTAACCAGCTGTGTGACTTGGCCTTCACCCCCTCTCTGAGCCTCAGTCTCCTCACGGAAACGGCCCTGCCTCCCACATTGTTCAGAGGCTGAAGTGCGATGCTTACGTACAAGCCTGCATGTGGGTTCTGGTCGCAGGTCTGCTGCTCCATTTATTCTGTGTGCCAAGCACAGCCCGGGCCTCGGGCGTGGAGCTGAGTGAAGGCAGTCATGGCCTTGCCCTCGTCGAGTTTATGGTCTGGTTAATAATTGGGACCTTGGGAGAGTTACTGACCTCTGTGGACCTCAACTTTCTCATCCGTAAAGTTGGGAAGCTAATAACACCTACTTCATTGGGTCCCTTTGGGATTAGATGAGGCCTTAACCTCGTGTCTGGCTCAGCAAACATTAGCTGGCATCATCATTACTAAAGGAAAGCTTGAAGGTTAGTGTTTCCCCAGAAGCCAAAGCTCAGGGGAAGGTCGCCTGCTGGTCAGAGCTTGTCTGCTAGAGGCGGCACCCGGCTGTCATCTCAGTCCAGGGCAGCTCTGGCTGGCGCGGTTCCCCACCCTCCTTGGCTGAGGCTCCATCTGGGGCATCTTGGTGGGGACCACCTTCCCGCTGCTGCAGGAGAGGCAGTACCTTCTGTGGAGCGGCACAGAGCTAAGCGCAGTGGCCCAGTGGGCTCTGTTGGTTTCCCACTTGGTGGAGCAGGGCCTGGGAGCAAAGGTCAGCATCCAGAGTTGGAAAAGGGTGGGGCCGTGCTGCCTCAGGGCGAGAGAGCTGGGCAGAGGCTCATCTGCACACAACTGCCTGCTGCACCAGCCTCAGCTGCCTCATGGGGTCGATGTCTCTCTCCGCCACTTAGAGAAGTCACAGGCTTGGTGAAGGGGGTCCGTGGTACCTTTTGAAGCGCAGGCTGAGGTCTGACAGCGCCTCGGTGCACAGTCCCATCCCCTTAAGCTGCTTGACCTTCAGTGGGCCTAGGGGGGCCCTTGGGAACCAGTGTGCTCCACCCCAAAGGCATCTCCAGCCACCCAGGAGGCTTGGGGACCCAGCGGAGGTTGTCCCGGCACTGCCTGGTGCCCAGCAGTGTCTCCTCCACATGGGAGGGCTGAGTTGTGTCCAGGGAACCTGGTGCTGCAGAGCCTGCTGGTGTCCCAGGCACTGGCGGCAGGGGCTTTCTGAGAGCTGGAGAGCTGGCGTTGTTCCCACATGCTAGGTATGGACCAGTTCAGGCAGCAGCTGCGTGTGGGAGGAGCTCTGCTGTTGAGGGTTGATGGACAGATTGCCCTGGCAATGGGAGAAGCAGGGCTTTTCCATCAGCCATGTGACCTTAGACCAGCCGTGGGCAAACTACGGCCCGCGGGCCGAATCCGGCCCGTTTGAAATGAAGAATAAAACTAAAAAAAAAAGACCGTACCCTTTTATGTAATGATGTTTACTTTGAATTTATATTAGTTCACACAAACACTCCATCCATGCTTTCGTTCTGGCCCTCCGGTCCAGTTTAAGAACCCATTGTGGCCCTCGAGTCAAAAAGTTTGCCCACCCCTGCCTTAGACAGATCACACCCCTGGGCCTCATTTTACTCTGTGGACAAACAGAAAATATCTAACTCACAGAGCTGTGCTAGAGGGTTAATGAGATACAAGTGTTTCTTCCAGTGTTAGCACCAAGAGTTGACCCAACTGGACAGTCATTCCCTTAGCCAGTGAGAGCCCATGCTGGGTGCTGGGTGCAGGGCTCGGTGGGGAGCGAAGCAGAGGCCCCTGCATGTGAAAACTTGCCTTCCCATGGGGAGATGGGGGAACAGACAAGAAAGGGGTCCTTACAGGTTGTGCTCAGTGCTATGAGGGAACCGTGATGGGTGTGGCTGACTTGTCCAGAGCCGCACAGCTTTGTTCCACATGCACATTGGCCACCTGCTCTGTGAGCCGCTCTGCTAGGAGCTGGGCCGAGAGCTGGCAGCCCGGCTGGTGCTTTGAGGAAGAGGCAGGAGGCAGGCCCAAGGTGGGGTATCACCCTGCCAAGCTGGGTCTCCAGAGCAGGAGCTAAATCCGCCTGAAGAGGCGGCGGAGAGGGGGGAGGACCGGGTAAGAGCTTGCTCTGGGAGGAAGGGGGGCAGGGTGACCAGAAGTGAGGGTGGTAAGGTAGAGGGGTCCCTGGATAGATTTCAGCAGGTAGCTGGTAAGCGGAGGGAGGCCCAGGGCTGTCTCTTTCCGGGGTTTGTGCTAAGTGGGTGCATCTGTGTGCCCACAGGCCGGCCGTACCGGGGCAAGCCGAGTGACATGTGGGCGCTGGGCGTGGTGCTGTTCACCATGCTTTACGGCCAGTTCCCCTTCTACGACAGCATCCCCCAGGAGCTCTTCCGGAAGATCAAGGCCGCCGAGTACACCATCCCTGAGTGAGTCCGGGTCACTGGGGAGGGGAGGGAGGCTCATGGGGCAGAGACAACACAATGAGGCTTGGAGTCCTGGGTCCGAGCCCCAGACCAGCCCACCCGACCTGAGCCTCCCCTTCTCCCCCTCCCCCATCAGGGACGGGCGGGTTTCTGAGAGCACCGTGTGTCTCATCCGGAAACTGCTGGTCCTCGACCCCCAACAGCGCCTGGCTGCCGCCGACGTCCTGGAAGCCCTCAGTGCCATCATCGCTTCGTGGTGAGTGGGCTGGTGCAGGGCTGGGTCCTGCCCATCCTGCCAGGAAAGAAGCCTGAGGTTGGGCCTGTTTCTCTGCCAAGCAGAGTCCAATTTCCAGATTTTCCCCGGGGGCAAGATTGGGAGGGTCCTGGCAGCGCTTGGCTCTAGCACCTCCTGCCTGCCATCGATGCCAGTGATGGAGGGCATTATCTCACTGAGTTCTTACCACACACAGCCTGTGAGGTAGAAATTGTCCCCTATTATTGGATGAGAAAACTGAGGCTTGGAGAAGCAGAGTTAATCACATCAGGAAGGGGCTGAGTTGGGACCCAACCCAGGTCTTTTGACTTCAACCAAGTCTTAGAGCAGTGAGGACCGGGAGCAGGGGCTGGGGGCTGCTTGGAGCCGAGCTGACGTGTGACGTGACTGCCTCCCCTGCAGGCAGTCCCTGTCGTCTCTGAGCGGGCCTCTGCAGGTGGTCCCTGACATCGACGACCAAATGAGCAATGCGGACAGCTCCCAGGAGGTGAGTTGGGAAAGGCAGACAGGTTGTTACCCAAGTCCTGGGGGACCAGCCTCCAAGGAAGGCAGGCTGGGCAGGGACAGAAGGTGGCAGCTCCCAGCAGGCCGCAGGGCCTTCTCAGCTTTGTCCCCAGCTCGTAGAGCGGGAAAGGGAGACCTAAGTTCTCGCCCTGTGCTGCCTGGGGCCTGCCTCGTCCAGCTCAGTTGGCAGTTCTGTGGCCTGAGAGAGGGCAGCTGAGGTGGAGGCCCCACAGCGGCCCAGCCCGGCCCTCCCTCAGCT